AATATTCGCGAATCTCTTCGATAGACAGTTCACTGGGCGTCGCCATCTTGTCACTACTGGTCGGCACAGCAGCGCCACTATCTTCACTGCCTCGCTGTGCTGTCGATAAAAACGACCTCTGTGTCGCACGATACACGCAATGAATTCAGAACGCATTACAACTGAACTCCGATTCTGTTAATCGAAGACAACTGATACATACGTAATTTTTCTAAATCCAATATAGCTAACCAAAAGATATACGTCTAATACGTATTAATATACTGTAGATGGTAGTATCGTGAAAACCTTCCGTCGCATTGTACGTCATTGGAACAAGTGAGCGATGTCTAATTGCTACTTAAAAATGCAAATAAAAATTATGTATGCGTGAAAATGCATACATGAACGCAACGTGTAATTTCTTCCTTTAATAATGTACTAACGAACTGTAATCATATTGCACCACAAAAAAAATTGTTAACATCATTAGTAACGAGTGCAATCGTTACTCCTCATGCATAACACATAATAGCAGTCAATTTAATTGTATTATAATCGTGTAGGACGCGATGGAATATGTAACGCGCGATCCAGCTGCTAGCTCGCATCCCATGTCGCGATACACGTACATAAAAACCAGCGGCCACGCGAAAACCGATTTTTCACTTCGGAGCCGAACGTATTAACCGTCGATGGAACTAGATATTTGATTCTGCCCGCGCAAATAGACGATTCGTAAAACCTTTTAGCAGCCCGACGCGTTATATTCCATCGATGCAAACATCCGGCTGACGAACCCGTCGCACAAACTAATGTGAATAACCGTGCACAGCCAGATAGAGCTTTAAACTTTAAACACTGCGATTTAAGTGCTGCTATACGCATCGACGATGGTCGATGAAGTAATTGACTTTTGTTACGTTATCTGATACATTTACAAGTTCGAATCAAACGGACCACTATTAATTTTTTAATTACACGCTACACGAAACGTATAACTTAAAATTAAGACTGGTGCCATAATTCACGTCAACTAGACAATGATACAATAAATGCTGCTGTATGTATATTTGAAATGAGAAGCACTACTAACTAACCAAGGGTGCCATTAAGATCAGTACCTTGGGACCCAAGGTTATCGTACGTGTAAGTTAAAATTATACGTTCTCGATTGCACATCTATTATTCGACATTAAAAGGAACACGCACTCTGACGTTTTGTTGTGACGAGATATTAAAAAAGATAGGCGACGATAAAATCTTGCGCGAAAGTTACTTAATTTATAACAAGATCGGATAGTCAAGCCTTTTAATGGTGTTGATATAATCATCACGATGCCTGGATACGACAGACAAAGAAGAAAGTCTATGATTTGCATAATACGTATAGTCTTGAACAAGATTATCCAGATAATCGCGGAGTTATAATGAGAACAGTTCTTCGCAGCAATGTTTTGTAATGAAGAAAATGGCCTTACTAATCACCTACCGTGTGTAAAAATATATACAAGCCACAAAAGACGAAGGGAGAACACTAGAAGGGACGGAGTATACGTGCGGCACGCATATGCGTGTCCACGGACAGGAAGCGTCGTGGTGCCTTTATAATTAAACCCCTTTTATCGACGATATTCTAATGAAATGACGACTAATGATTGAGCTCGATCCGCGTAAGACTTTGCAACGGACAAACGATTCACGAGTTAAATACATAAGTTTTCAAGTATTGTTAATGGTTGCTATCGTTTCGCCGAAATGACAATGCTGTTAAACACGACCATGAACGCGCATTAAGCGTATTCTGTAACACCGCTTTACAAGGATCATCACGATCAGAGATCGGCTCGATTAAAATAATTACAACCGCGAGGATACGGATTTGTGTCTCTGCAGAGAAAAGGGAAAAATGGTTTACCACGCCAAATAACAATATCAGGGATCTCGTGGAGATCAGATGGTAATCTTTTGACCGCGGTAGCCAACACGCAGCGTGTTCTTTGATACAATTCTAAACCCGGCAGGATTGATGCACGAGATTGGCCGTGGTATTTCCGTGAACAAAATGTGTGCACCAAGAGGTCGTCCGGGGGCGAAGCGGTTGCAGCAAGAAGAACGAGCGGCCAAGAACGAGGACAAAGGAATCGCGTCGACGCCCCGTGGCCCCGTAGGTGCATCCACGATATCATCTACCCATGTTCCCTTGCGTTATGCTTATGCTCGTGCATACGTAAAAGATGCGCGAGCCTGCAGCCGCTGCAGCGCTTTATCCGTCTGGTGCAAACTGCAAAAGAGTTCGTGTGATCTACCGCCCAGTGATATGTCGCCGCTGGGATTCCGACGAGAACCGCAAGCTTCTTTTCTTTCCCCTTCCCCACCCTCCCTATAATTCTCCCAACCCGTTTGTTCTCGCGCCATTTTAATTAATTCTTGGACAATGCAACAGGGGAATGCTTTTTTACTGTACACGTTTATCCGAGCGTGTACAAGAATTCATTATGTAATGTATGGTTTCCGCCAACTTCTTTTACTTTCGACCAACGTGAAACGTTACTTCAACGCACACTTGCTCCTTTGTAACCGTGAATCCTGCTCGCATACAAGGTGTGCCTTTATTAATGCCAAGCGTTTTCGACAACAAGTTTATTCAGACGAGACACGTTTAACTCTACTTTCAACTCGTGTCCCCATTTTTTTTTCAAAAATTCTAACAACGACTACGTAAAACGCAAATAGGTAATGTCAAAATTTCGGTAGGCTCTGTTCCGCAACAAAAGCTACTCGTTTTCGAATAGAAGTATAGTTTGAAAACGAACCGTTGTATTTCGTATAACCACACCCCATACATGAAAGTATTGGATATGGTATACTATACCATTGGTTTTCGTGCAACAAAACCAAACCGCGAAGCAGATCCATCGATGTAGCACGGTTGTTACTCGATCGAGCTATTCGCATAATCGACTCTATTCGCGAAAGAACAACCGCGATAAAGGGTCTACGTTTTCCATTTTTAGCTTTTTTTTCGAATGAAATGCTTTTCCTGTTGTGGTTTATCGAAACGTATGTATCTCGCAGAGAGGAGAACGGGGCGGAACGAGAGAACTAACGCCAGCTCGGTTTTTGTCAAAGATTCCAGAGGAACGTTACGTAGGGACGTCGTGAGTTACTCGCGTGTATGCACGCACGAACTAAGAAACGCGCGATGGAGGTGCAAATGCGCTCGCGTCGCTGGCAAAAAACAGCTTCTAGATCATGCTGTCCTCTCCACGGATGGCAAGCAACGCCGACGTGTAACAGTAAATTCGACCTGAACCCGATGACGGACTTCGCGCTCTCTATCGTTTTTGCCATATAAAGGGTCGCAATGGTAGCGCGTATCCAACAGCAGCGACTTATATATTCGTCCATAATTGGAGCGACTGCACTCACTCGAATTGGCTACGATATAAAACATCCCGTATAAAGAGCGTACTTTGGCAGGTTTCTTGCACGGTTTTTACTCCCGGTACCTTTGGTGGTCTCGTTAGAAGGACAGTGGGAGGTCCGCGGGAAAAACGGCAATAACAGACAACAAAGCCAGCGCGTATCTAGTCGAACTCGTCGTCTCGATCGCCTAAAAACCGTGTTTCGAGGAGACGAGTGAAAAAAAGTGAAGCCAGTGGTCGAACGTCACGTCCGTCGAGGTCGATTCCGTACAATTATTACGGTATTATACGCTGCATTATACATTAAGGTCCGATCATTCAGTTCTGAAACAGTTATCGCGATTAATGTACACAGCTAACGAGTCCGTAACTCTACGTTCGAGGAATAAATTTCGTTCGAAACATGAGAGATACGCGTCGCAAGCTAAGATACGGTATAATGCATCGAGCTTCCTTTCGGTGGCTACGTATACCGCACGGCAGCCAACGTAAAACGTTTCGCTGAACAGAGTTATGGGCTCTAATGAGTCGAGGGGTTAAAGCGCGAGTCCCGATCCTCACTGCAAAAGAAGAGAGCTAAAACCCTATCGGACCGTTCAATCTATCCTGACTACCGTTTACCACGGCATCGTTTAAAGTGGCCACAGGTGCTCGCCCGTATATACGCTCGTTCCACGTACCAAAAAAAGAACGAATATAAGGACTGTGAAGCAGCCGATGCCCGCGAGTATGACCACCGAGAGCTGTATGTTTGGCTTTCTCATAGTTTTACCGGATGATTTTTAGTACTTGATCGTAGCGGCTCCGGTTTGTCGGCGAAAAGCCAGTTCGGACTTCAAAGATTCGCGATCGAGCACTTGGCTCTATACAGGCATTACATATTATCATGGCTGGTATCCAACCGAAGCGCGCGTGTCCCCTTCGTTGACGTCGTAAAGCGGCTTTCCGTGCATACAAAGTCGAGGGCTCGATCAACACTCTACGGGGTCGCGTTGTCGTTGGTGGTTAGAGGTCCATGAAAAGAGCAAAGTATACCTTGGCGCGGCTAATAGCTCCGCATTTTTTATTCGGCAATACATATACCACGGAAATTGACCGACTGTTTGCCCGAACGTTTCACACGAAACATTTAACACGCGATCATAGATCAATATCTCGTATAAATACATGTCCTATTTTAGAGGAAAAGCACGGTCGACGGTTTATTCTATTTATTAATTTTTTATTAAACGACGCGGCATCCCAATAGAACTATCCGAAATATAAATATCGTGGAGAATTTTTCAAAATGACTAACGATCGGAGCAGTCATTCGGAGAGTTTTCAATGTGGCAGCAATTGCGTTTATCGATGCCCCGACGTTCCACGAGAATGTCACAGTCTGTTGCGATCAATCTTTGACATCGATGTGACAACCCGTGCTATTTCAGAGTGTGTCCGCGCGATAATAGCGACTGCCAAGTGGCGACTATTAGTAGAATTTTAAGCCAGGTACGCCAGTCGACGCAAACGGTAGCAGTCAAATTAAAACGCGTCCCGCCAATGGGGGGAAATTTTGCAAAACAAACAAAAAAGAAATTAAAAAGTGAAGCAATGGCTGACTGTATGAACGTCGAGGTACCAGTGGTGGGTACACTGGGTACGAAGAAGGGCCGAAAATACTATCAACGATTCGTGTCGCTGTCAGTAACGACGCATTAACGCATTCATATCGCATTCCAACCCTTCGTTCGACTGCAGCTTGCTGCTCGATGTCCTCGCGCTCGTTCTTTCTTCTTTACTTTTGTACGCGTCTCGTTACTCGCGCGCTCGCTCGTGTTAAGTCGCGCACTGCCGTGTAGCTTGCGCGAACAGCGGAAAAGTATTCGTGGCTATCAAAGAGTACACAGCCGGACAACGCGTTAAATATGTGTCAAGTTGTAAGCTCGCGAAAAATCTGTCCAACGCTTTGCTCGTGCTGGTGCTACCGGTGAGTATCGCTGGTAAAAAGTGTGAAACTCTAAATATAGGGTTTCGTTGACGTACGTGAACCGTCATTACGCTCGCGTAACGTAGCACGCGTTTCCGAAACGAGTGTGCACCTATCGCGCGAATCGCTCTTCTTGGCTGTATTACAATTTGTCGTGCATAGTAACGAACGTCGCAAGAAACGCTGGAAAAAGTTACAGGCAACGCGCCGGTGACAGCGTGTAATAACGCGCCTGCTAAACCGCTAATCTACTCTCGTAAAGTATTTCTCGCGTTCCACGACTTCTGTACAATATGAATGCATAGTAAACAGTGGATGACGCACGATAACGACAGGTACAATTAACGTTTTTTTTTCAACCCACCTGCGAGCTTATTACGAAACCAGTCACGAAGAGTTCCCGTGAAAAATCTTACCTCGATGCAACGAGGAAGTGGAAGACGTTCTCGAAGACAAAGTATCATAGGCTGATGTTTATGCGCGCAGTGCACTCGCGTAAAATATATGCTTCGCGTAAATGCGGATAGGATGTGCGCATTTTTTCACTGCGTTCTATTTGAATTGAAAAATATAAATCTAAGTTTAATGTAAATTTACAGGTACGAACGAGCTGGTTAAAGACAGGAACATGTCAATGCAAATGGCACGCACTCGCGATGGTTGATCGAGACATGGAAGAGGGAACATCCGGCTCTTTGAGAGGACGTTCGTTCACGATCACAGGGCACCCTTTGCAAGTTCACGCAAGAGGTTCGCGTTGTCTCAGAGAGACCGCTACGCCGCCCACGTCGTCGCCGATTACCGGGAGGTATACGTGAAAGGTAAGGGCAGTTCGATCATGGATAACGATCGTTTATCGGCGCCAGCGAACTATCGTTCTCTGTCCCCGTGTCGACAGATCGATTCGAGGAAATGGAGAATTGCGGTAATTGCGATAAGTAACGCAATATACGTTAGTCGAAAAGAACGACTGGGCGGTAGAAGAAAGTGTTAATCGCCGGTCAGGAGATTTACAGCGCGCATCGATATCCTGTGTGTTCGGTTGACCGATCGGAATGACACAGAGAGGACGATTACCGTGACGCGAGGGCGTCGTCATTTACATTTCCTAAGATGTCATCGCGGAAACGTAGACGGAATCGTGAAGCTTGTTCGCTTAACCCACACAGAGGCTGGAAGCAGAAGTACAAAGTCACGTTCTCCGAGCGGCGTAGACGCGCGGGAAAAGGTACATCGAGGGGAGCAGCGGTTAAACGAAGGACGTAAAAACATCGGGTATGACGGAATATAAGTGAAATCGGAATAATTACAGGCGGCACGGACGCAAATCCTGCAATACGGTAGTCAGTAGGCGGTATGGCCTACCAACAGGCGCATACAGGTATACGCAAGCTCTTTGTCGGACGGAGGTGGAGTACGGGTTATATTGGCGCCACCTCCTGCACGGTTAAGCGAGCGACTAGGGCAGACTTACGCCTTACGCCTCTCTCTCTCCCTCTCTCTTTTCCCCTTTCTCCAGCTCTCTGACTATTCGTATCTCGTTCTCCCTCGTCGGTTCGCCCCTCGACACCTCTCGCTCGCACCAATGCTCGCTTACTCCGGTCTGTTCCGTTCTGTTCTCTGCTCTTCTCTCCTCTCTCTCCCCTCTTTCGGCGGCTTGCTCGCTCGCTCGCGCGCTCTGCCCTCTCGTCCCTCTCCGCTGATGCTGCAACTCCGGCTCGGCTAACCCAACCTAACCCGCGGGCCAACTTCATTCCACGCCGACTGACCACCACCGACGGCCGTCG